ACACACACACACACACACACACACACACACACACACTGTGGGCCTTAAAAGCAACATTTATCATACACACAAGTAGTCTGTTAGGAAATGGACTAGAAACTGCAGAAACAAGATGACAGCAGGAGTTAAACAATGACTTACCTGAACAAACTGWGCACACACTGGCCTGGAGACACTCCCAGGACTGGAGGAGGTAAAATTCCCCATTCTGAAAAACACAACATGCAACCAGTATCTTAGAGCCGTGGCAACATACAGGAAGCCCACTAACACACACAAATTAACACATCCATGTAACAACCTCATAAATGTGAAAACACCATAGGTAGGGAGAAAGTGGAAGGCCGAAAAAAGCGCAAAAATATTATAAAAAAGAGCCATAACTGACGCTAAATGCACTATAAACGCTTACAAGGTATGAAACTATATACTAATATTGCTGCCTAACACTCTGCCTACAACTGTGGTTGTAAGGCTTCCGTGGTGGGTAATCCAGGATTACACACCAGATTAATCTCTAGTACTCGTAGCACAACAACGTTCAGAAAAATCTGTCCTCACCCAGCCCAAGTGTGTCACCACTCTGACAAACAAAATGTGTGACTAAAGTGTTTGTTTAACCACTGACTTGTTAAAGCTCCACAGGCAGACCTACACTTAGCTTTCTAATTACGGTAGAATAATTCAGTTTAGACTGTTGTCTTTATTGTCCTTGTATTACAATATCATAATTTATGAGATATTAAAATGTGTGACTACACATACTGTATGAAGCAGGGTTATATGTCTGAACTACTCACAAACCTGTGGTCAGTACAATATTTATTTTCAGCCCATTTCCCTTTAAATTAGTGAAATATCTATAGTCAGTGCACTATTTTATTCACTTCACTCACCAGTATTGGTCATTCATTCTGTAAATATTGTTTTTAATTTATTTCTTTATTACTGCTAAATGGTTTATTATTACTTTTCTTTCTTTCTTTCTTTTTCTTTCTTTCTTTCACTTATTCATTGTAATAGAACTGCAATTTATTGTGCACTATTTGATGTATATTTTAAAAAGCCAACAAAAGTCTATCCACTACGGTATTATATACTTMGGATGTGACACATTAATCAGCAATATCACAATAAAAATTAGGTCCAAAATGAAAGCAGTTGTGACAAACAAGGCACTGGATCCAGCCYAAAATGTCTGTTTTGTGATGGACAMTCATATTAARCCAAAATATGGAGATTGAAGTATTTATAAAAACACCACACTATCCAAGGTTTATATTACGCCGAATTGTTTAGATGTAATCAATAAGTAGCAGTGGCTTTGAGTTGAATAAATGTCAACAATTAAAATCCTATCAAAATACACCATTTATAAAACTGAATAAAATATGAATGCGATACGGCGAGCAGTACACCAAGAGCGAATGGACGAAAAATATTTTAAGCTGAGTCTCAGAAGCTGTGGCGTTGTGTTACTTGCTAACAGTTCGTTTAGAAAGATGTGAGTATTGTTAAATATTGGCTGTTTTATAAATTTAATTAACTATAAATTAATAGTCAAGAATGCGGTGACTTCTTCGGCGGACTGTCCATGAGACTATAACACAGCAACAAAGAAACAAAATGTCATTAAATAAAATTAAATTCAGCCATGAGTGAAACATGCAGTTAGTAAACAGGCAGTTGTGGTGTTAGATAAACAGCTTGTCTAAAACTGTATAGTTAGGGTCTTCCCTTTTAAAACCATATTACTGCGCACCTTACATAAGCTTCCTCCTTTCMCTTCTTCTTCTCAGTTGGTGGGTTGTAACACGACTCAAGGGCTCTACGCCGCCACCCAGTGGGTAAAACATGGTACTACAACAACAAACGACTCCAGGGTGAMTGAAACTTGCTCAGTTACTTAGTTTTTTTTTTCATATCTAATAACAAACAACCAGCAATACTTTTTTGTTCCTAACAGCATCATACATCTGTTCCTTTATTTTCATTCTCATCATCATGTTGATTAGATATTGTTCAGTTTTAGTGTCAAAGTGCCTTCTCCTGCTTATTTTCCTCTCAACAATTACAAGAATAACACAGGCCAGAACCTTACAACCTTACAAAAAAGTAAACTCTTCATTTCCATCAGACAAAATACATATCGAATTCTAAATCAAATGATAAAACGCTGTCAAAATCAGATGTGTCATTTATTTCCTCTATCCATGGCAGGACCATTCTAAATTATAATAAGTGATGGCATTTTGTCATTAATTATCCAATACCCTTTTCACAATATTTGACTTACACACTGAATATGATTGAATCTTATGTGCCTTTTGTTTAATGGAAACAGTGTAAAAATGAACAAGTTACTGCAAATTGCTGTAGCTTTTCTTTGATCACTTTARGTTTTGTTTTTGGCGGTTTCCCAGAAAGGGATAAAACAAATRTTCAGAGGCAGTAGAGTAATTTACTTCTGTGTTTACATCACCAATCTACTTAAAACTTGAAATTGAATCTCAAAATTTGTAACTGACTTTTAAAAGACCCTTGGCAGGATTTTTTTTTTTTTTTGCAGTACACTCTGCAATACTCACAAATATGCACCAGCTAGAGGCAAATCCCCAACCGATTGTTGCCTCCAAGGTTAGATTTTGTCTAAGGCTTCCTCTCTGTGTAAGTGATGCTTTTCCCTCGGTTGTGCAGCGCAATGATTCTCTCTTTAATMAGTCTGTTTTGAGTCTACGCCTCCTGGGATGACAACAAGTTATGATTTGTTGTGTAAAACATCAGTGGATAAAAATAAAATCTGTCAAATGATTAGGCTGAAAAYAGACAGAGACATGCATTTCTTTTGCACATCACAAATATGTGATAATTCATATGCATATGGCAGGTAATTGCAGATTATTTTACCTCATCTACACAGCTTTTCATTCCCCTTCCCTCTTAAAATGCGTTCGTTTTTTAATGTTTTCCATTGACCGCTGTAGCTCACAGAGGCAAGAAAATCAATCACAAATCCAGAAACATCTGATGAGGCAGCACAGGCTGAATTCAAGTTTTTTTTCTTCCAAAGCCACAAGAAAAAACACGTCGTCTCAGCAGCGCTACATTTGAGGACGTGTGACCTGAGACAGACAGCGTTTACATTAACCACCTGTTCACAGCATTGATGCAACTGATTGACAAAGAGGAGTGGATAAACGGAACGTCCCTCAGATCAATAAACCCAGTGGATRACACCGAAGTCTTTTAACGTTAACTCTACAAGTGCAGACAGACGACACTATCTATCATCTAACACCCCTCCCACACACATACACACACACCAAGTGAAAATGAAATGAAATAATGTTTGCTTCTAGCAGATCGAGTCGTTCTAACGTGTAGAGGTGGAGAAATTCTGTCACAAATGTTGGTCAAAGGGCTGTTTTTGTATGGCTCRTTGAGTAATTGTCAAAAGAAACACAACACCAGGTCACAGATTAAAAATAAATAAAATATCTTGCAGGCATCTTGGTTAATTTTACTCCATATAACTTCAGTTTGCTGTGCAGCTAAAGGAATCCACAATGTTAAAAGTAAATAAATAAATAAATAAATAAATAAATAAAAAGTCAGTAGGATCAAAAATTATATAAAATATGGTCAATTAGAATTTCAAATTGTTGCATGCTGCACGTGTCACCACCAAACTTTGATCCCCCCACCTACACCCAATGCACTGAGAAAAACTTTTATCTTTGATTAAATTTTTTTATTTGTTGCATTCATAACAACAATAAGTCCATTAAAAACTGAATACATCAATTATTAAATGAAAGGGGGGGAGGGTGTACAGAAAGAAAAAAAATCTAATATCTGCCCCTTTTTATGACCCTCCGCATGCAAAGCGGGGGTCATATTGTTTTCGTACTGTTTATTTTATGTTTTGCAGTGATTTTTGGTTAACCGTACAGCACGGAAAACAGCTGCACCGATCAACGTGAAATTTGGCAAGAATGTAGACGTGTCTGACCTACACTGCACCAGCCAACGGCTTTATGATAGACCCCATATTTGAGGTGGGGGCTCCATCTGAAAAGTGGGTGTCTGAACTAACAAAAAGGCTTAGAACTCAAAAACTATARAAGCTTCAGATTTATTTATTTATTTATTTAGCTCTGATGAAGGGATATCTATCAGTATCAGGCCCACCAATGAGCACCCCCCAACCCTCTAGACCAGGGCCATTCAACTCACGGCCTGCGGGCCACATTCGGCCCGCAAGTGACCAAAGTTCGGCCTGCCAATTGGTTCACTCTTCTCTTCAGCCCAAACCCCCAGTTTTCTATTTTAATTACTCTAAGGTGTTTTAGTTAAACATGGACATGATTGGTGTCTACAGAAACATCAGAATCTTGGCTACAAGCTGGTGAAAAACATTTCTATGAACATCCAAGACAGTTAAAACTACAAACAGTTGAATATAAAACTATGAAAGTGAAAATAAAATTGGTTTAAAAATTTGGCAAGTCAGAGGTGTCAAAATATTTTGTGGTAAATAAGAGAGATATGTTTCTTTTTTGTCATCACTACATTTATTAAACTGGGTTCTTCATGTTTTCATGATTAAATACAGCAAAATAAACTATTTCAAAGGTGAAACATCTTTGTAATACTTAGTTTATTTACACAACAACTTTAATTGCTGGATATTCGGCCCTTGTCTGCATTACCTGTGGCCCCCAGAGCAATTTAGTTGAATAGCCCTGCTCTAGACCACCCAAAACAATAAATCTGTTCTGGTGAGTTCTGAGTTGTGGTGCACTGGTGCTTTGCGTACGTGCGGGGGTCTTTTACCACTCTGTGGTATCTGGCTCACATTAATTTCATCCTGATGATTGTTGTGTTTTCAAAAATATTCCAGTTTTGTGACAAAGTGGCTACAGTGWTGTGTAGTACCAMACATTTCTTAAATATTMAGAYGTTTCCTTCTACTTTTTGTCTTTGTAAGAAACTCATGTCACATGCACTTTAAATATTTAATTCCGGCATAAAATTCTGCAAACTCATTTCTGATATTCTGAAAAGATTATTATCCCATAATTATAAAGTAAAATCTCTAAATTATGTTAAATTATGACTGAAAAGCTCATATTTATGTGATACTAAGTAAAATATAGGAAATACTAAATCAGAATTATCATTTGTTAGGTTATATTAACGAGAAAATAAATCCTCTTTATGAAATGTTAGGTCAAATTTTAAGTTTCTCATAAAATAATGACTAAAAGGAACTTTTTATTTTTTCCTTCAGAAAAGGACTTCCATAGCAGTGACATGACTGATGAGAAATAAAAAAAGAAAACCTAACTAATGAACTGTTTCAGGCCCAGTYAGGAAAATGTGTGCAGCAAGCTTTGATGTAAAACTGTTCGGTAATGACGCATGCAAAAACATTTCAATCTGCAGTGAAGTGCTGACACTTGGAACTGGTATTGGTTGATAAATTATCGCCGTGCAGATATTCAGAACATCTCAGAACCACATCATTTATGATATCTGTGAAGAAATGGAGGCTATAATTTGGACTCRTTTATTGCACAGACATGGAAGGTGCAATAATAGGCTGTTTTTTATGCATATCCTGTGCAAATATATGCATGTGAACCATAATGTTTTATGATCCAAATGCTTTAGAAGAAAGCATAAAAAGTCCCAGGCAGTCAGAAAATGGACTCTTCTCTGTAAAKATCATTTGTCTTTGGAGCAGAACGAGCAGCCGTGAGTGTGATGTTGTATCTCACATCTTGTTTTTTCGTCCTGATGTTTCACTCTGGCAGATTAGAATAAGTGGGTTAAGTTACGAACCTGTGGAGGACATTCACAGTGGGCCTCATGCAAGAACATGTTCTT